TCATGAAAAGCCTGCAGGAGGCTCGGGATCGACAAGTGGCCTTTCAAGGGGCCGGCAGGGAGGTCCAGCAAGCCACCTACCCCGCCATCCTCGTCGGCCATGTCGGGAGGGTGTGTGGCATCGGTGGAGGTGTCAGCGTGCGAGGACCTGCCGCTATCAAGCCATGGCGCCTCGTCGTGCATGCTTGAGACTGCAGGCCCAAGCGATGGCACTGCTTGTCAAGACCTCTCCATGGGCTCGACATGTCTTGCTTCGAGCAACTGTTGGAGGAAACAAATCGACGATCCTCACTGCACGGAGACCCGCCATTGCCCTCTTCTGCTTCAACGCCGAGACTCTCTCGACAAGTACGCGTCCATGCTCACCGTACCTCCTGGAGAGGAGGGGCAAGGCGACGCCGTGTTCTGGAAGGAGCTGCTGGGGATGCTGCCGGAGGAGGTAAAGGGGAAGAGGGTGGATGTAGACTTTGACTTTACCTATGGTTCATAAACTTGTATGTTCCGAATGCATGTGACGGCAGTGCGTAATGCAGCGTTAGGGGAGGGGGGTTTGAAGGAGGTGGTGGACTCCATGCTCAGTCCCCTTCTCATAGCATTATCTTTAGCATGGTCATTTTCATCTTCAAGTCCAGGCTGTGTTTGTTGCCAATCTGCCGGCCTTGGAGGCTCTGGGGCGGCATGACCTGCTGACTTGGCCCGGGCTGGTACGTATCATAGTATCTGGGTCGGACCTTTGCCACTATCAGCCAACAATCCTGAACTTGCTTCAACTTGGGTTCAAGTTGTGAGTGAACTCGCATGGTCGATACACGTATTGGAAATATCATCTCCGCCTCCTTCAAACCCCCCTCCCCCTCATGCTGCCCTACGCACTGCCTTCACATGCATTCGGAACATACAAGTTTATGAACCATAGGTAAAGTCAAAGTCGACATCCACCCTCTTCCCCTTTACCTCCTCCGGCAGCATCCCCAGCAGCTCCTTCCAGAACACGGCGTCGCCTTGCCCCTCCTCTCCAGGAGGTACGGTGAGCATGGACGCGTACTTGTCGAGAGAGTCTCGGCGTTGAAGCAGAAGAGGGCAATGGCGGGTCTCCGTGCAGTGAGGATCGTCGATTTGTTTCCTCCAACAGTTGCTCGAAGCAAGACATGTCGAGCCCATGGAGAGGTCTTGACAAGCAGTGCCATCGCTTGGGCCTGCAGTCTCAAGCATGCACGACGAGGCGCCATGGCTTGATAGCGGCAGGTCCTCGCACGCTGACACCTCCACCGATGCCACACACCCTCCCGACATGGCCGACGAGGATGGCGGGGTAGGTGGCTTGCTGGACCTCCCTGCCGGCCCCTTGAAAGGCCACTTGTCGATCCCGAGCCTCCTGCAGGCTTTCTTGATGGCCGTAGGGCAGATCCCAAGCGCCTCCGATGCCGCAGCGAGCGAGCGATCGAAGAGGCCCTCCAGAAGCTCTCTCGTCAGCACGACCGGGTCGTCGGGCTGTCGGGGAGACTGGCCAGGGCCTGCCTTCTTCTTGCGAGGGCAGACGAGCGCGACGCGGGCGGAGGAGATCTGAGAGCTGATGCTGTCATGCTGGAGACGATCTTGGCAGGAGGGAGGCTCCGTCTGGGGGGGAGCAGGGGAGGAGAGGAAGGGTGGTTGGGGGTGTTGGGAGAGCATGTCGTCGTCATATGGAGACCAGTACATATCGCAGAGGTCAGCACTTGTGCCAAAGACTTCGATATCGCACATGAGATCAACTCGACGCGGGAATGCAGAGAGCAGAAGGAATCAAACGAAAAGGACGTGTTCTGTTGGGGTATTTGTCCAACAAGCGATTGAAGCAGAGAGCGTAGGGAAGGAGCTGCCGAAGGAAACAAGTTGAAGGGGTGGGGCTGGGAACATCTTTAGCGGGTCGGAGAGAAAATAGGCAAACATGCAACGGTTGAGGTCCGGAGTCTATTTTTAGCAACAGAAGCTCCGGGTCGGAGCATGGGAGCCTGACCGTACGTGACTATTACTAATATAGCAGTACCCATATTTTTACTCAAGTGTCCGTGGGATGCCGGGCCCGGCCAGCCGAGCACTGATCAGGCCCGCCGGATGGCGAGCCCCCAAGGCCGGAGGCGGGAAAGAATGGATGGATGAGGGGAAGGAAGAGGGTTGTAGTGAGGAAAGGAAGATGACTGGTGGAGATGAAGAGATGTCTTCAGAGAGCTTATGGTAACTAGAAGACGATCAGGTCAGAGCGATGAGAAATGCAAACTCAACCTGGAAACATCTCTTTGACTCTTTGTGTGGTAGAATCAGCTCCTAGAGGGACGTCTCAGACTCCTTTCTGTGTGCCTGCCCCCAGCATGCTCAAACTGACTTCTGCTGCCAACAGTACACGCTCGTATGTCGATGGAAGAGAGAGAGAGAAACATCTTAAAACTTCTGCGCTGCCCAAGTTGCAACGACGCTTTCTCGAGCGCAGAAGGGATTCTCCCCAAACTCATGCCCAACTGTCCTCACACCATATGTAGCAGCTGTGTGGCAGACATCAACCTGAAATGTAAACAAGGGAGAGCATGCCCGATCTGCAAGAAGTCTTGGTGGAGACCTGAGGCATACGATATGGCGAACAACCCGATCATCATGAGCCTGATAGATGCGCAAGCCGAAGACGGCTTTGATGCGCCAAAGCTGAAGATGGAGCTGATGCAGAACGTGGAGAGAAACAAGCTAGATTACAACGAAGAGTGTGCGATGATAAAGGAGCTCTCCCGAGATGGTGTCTTGGACTTCTTCGAGGCTTCTGCGCTGAAGGAGCAGGCGATGCAGAAACTCTACAAGTCAGTGGCCAACTGCAAACGGAAGTATCTCCTCGAGGGGGGGGACGAGAGCTACGTCAACGAGCTAGTGCAGATGATGTATGACTCCATTGGCCTCAGCCGGTCACTCGAGGAGGACTACGCTCGGGATGAGGAGATCATTGACGATTGGATGGAGATTGTGCCGTCGGAAGACGAGAGCGAGGATGCCGCGCACACAGAAGAGGCTCAACAGCCTCAAGTCGCGCAAGACCCAGTGACCAGAGAGGCAGACAGCGGCGTTGAAGCATCCAACCCGGATGAGGACATGTTGAGCCTGAAAGAGGAGGGCCAGAGGGAAGCTCGACCAACTCCGAGCAGCAGTGGCAAGAAGTCGAAGGGGGCGAGAGTGAGTGGCAAGGATAACACTGGAAGGGACCGAAGAAGCTCGGACGGCAGCAAGGAGAACACGCCGAGAGCAGTCGGTGTGAAGGTTGAGCCCTCAGACTCCGAAGAGTGCGAGAGAATCGCCAAGAAGGAAGGGGCAGATGCTCCTCAGGTGCCTTTGCGATCTAGTCAAATCAAGAGGAGAAGCCAAGAGAAACCTGCTGAAGCAAGTGAGCCCGTGGTCCACGAGTATGAGCCTCCGAAGCTGAGGCATGGGACGGCGCGATCGGGCGTCTGCCCATTCCTAGATCGAGTGGTCGATGAGATGGTAGAGTTGTCACAGAGACTGCCGTTCTCGGTCATGAAAACCACCAGCGAAGACGTTTGGGACAACTTCGAGGCTAAGATGTCAGACCTGAAGATGAAACCAAACTTTTCGTCGATCAAGAGCAAGATGCTATGGCTGCTGCGGGAGATCAAGGAGGAGTGCCTGAAGGAGTCTTGGTTCACTAGGAACCATCCCGTGCTGATGCAGAAAATTGAGGCCTGCGGAGACCCGCAACATCTGCAAGAGCTGCTTCTGGAGTTCAAGTGCAATGCCGTCAGCTGGAAGCTTGTTCGGAAGGCTATGCAGATGGACTCGATGCCGGGTGGCTCGTCTCAGGGGAAGAGCAAGAGGGTCAAGGTTGAGAGCTGCGTGGATGGGGAGGGTCAAAATAAGCAGGATCACGCGCCTCCACCAAGTAGCAAGTCCAAGGCAGAAACGTACAAGTACAGCTACAGAAATATCACCCAGACCTCCGACGGCATGTTTCAGCCCCGCGTTTATATCAACAGCAGCCTGCGTCACATGATGCAAGGCAGGGAGAAGATCTACATCAGTGACAAGTTCAGATCTGCCTCGAAGGCAGCCAAGAGGGCAGATGAGTTTCTCCTGGAACACTTCACATTGTCGCAAGTGCTCCCATACCTCAACTTCCCTAAGGCAGCTCGAACTTAAAACATCCCAGGCCATCACGTGTCCTCCCACTCTTGCCTTGGCTCAGGTTTACTAGTGTCCACTCGCGAAGGCTGCAACTCATCTAAAAGATCTGTTTCACCATTGCGATGGTTGGGATCTGCGACAAACAGTCAATGCACAGCAGATCAATCAAGCAGCAGCCACCGGCCTCAGCTCCAAACAGCTCCCATCAGATTTGGGCTTGCAGACTCTCACGGTGTCTACAGGACGATTCCAGATAGTCTGTTAGATCGTCACTTCCGGCAGGGCCTGTCACACCAACGGACCTGATAACCAAGGGATTCGTACAACTTTCGTGCCGCAACATTTTGTTCTTCTACCAGCAAGAAAATCTCTCGGAAACCTGCTCCGTCGGCCCGTTACTTCTCCTCCTGTTCATCGCCGTGATTTCACCCCAACTCTTCACGATGCTCTCGCACTCCTGGCAGAGCCTCCGCCCCAGACCGCTACCTCGGCTCCTCTCGCTCACCTGCCAGTGTTGAGGGCGTGGGGAAGGAGCGGGGGGGGAGGGGGGGGGATGACATCGACTCACCGCAAGGTTTGACAAGACAGGGATGAGCCCGTAGTTCTCCGGCAGAACAGCATTCGCAACCTCGATCAGAGGAGCTTTTCCTGCAGCCGAACGAGTCACGCTGAGGAACTACCCTCGTCCTCTTACTCAGCTCGTTCCTTGCTCGCCCGCCCAGGGCCGACAGCCCGCCTTTGAGCATGTTCTCGCCCCTTTCCCTGGTGGGCACATACAACCAATTTCAACAAGCTCTCAAGGAGTCAGAGGAGACAAACCTGGACAGGACGGTGATGTCCTCCTTATCAACGACAGACACCTCGATGCCGCAGCAGGCCTGGATCATTCCGTTGTTGCCTTGAACCAGCAACAGGCTTGACTTCAACTTCCTCTCCCCTACCAGCTTTCCGTACCTGCCGCCACCGAGTCACTCGACACCGAGGGCCCCGCAAGGCACGAGCCTCTCTTGAAGGTCCTGCCTCTGACACTCCAGCAGCTCTCGCTTCTGTGCGGCGTCAAACGTCTGGGGCCCCATAGAGGTGCTGTGCTCCCAGAACGAGTCGAGGAAGAACGCGGCGCAGTCCTCGATCACTTTGTAGTCGTCTGACACTCTGATCTGCACTGGCACATCGCTGGAGCTGGACTGAGCCGCCTGCGACTGGGAGGAGGAGGGTGAAAACGCTGCTGGAACATCCCAGGTAGTCTCCCCAGTCTCCACGTTCCAATAGTACATAGAGCCCGAAGCCTGAGGAATGGAATGTCAGCGCGATAAGACGACCCCACGAGCAGGCGATGGAGAGCTTGTATAGACACGTGAAGATAGTATGAGTGGCGTATGCGGACTGGGAGGATCAGGAGGAGGAAGGGGAGGAGGAGGAGGAGGAGGGGGAGGATGAGGAGGGAGGTGCATCTACCGGATCCTGCACCTCCCGCCATTGCGATGCCTGAGCTGAGGTCTTGAGAGCAGTCAGCGAGTACCGCCTGCTAGCCCTTGGGAGCCCTCGCAGCTTCTTCCCTTGGTCCGTTACCCCTGGGATCCTCTGTGCAATCGGGCGATCCCGAGCTGCAGGAGGAGAACGAGACGAGGAGGAGCTTGGAAGGGACCATGACATGTGGATCGGGCTAACGTACAAGAGGCCTCTTGTCTTGCTCAGCATGCTCGAGTCTACTGCCGTCCTTCTGCTCGCTGGTACCGGCACCTTCCCTTCTGACATCACCATGGCCATCAAGCAAGCGATCATCGTCGCCGCCATCCTGCACTTGGCCCTCGCCATTGCGAACCCTCACTACCCTTATATCACCGAGCACCAGTCATCACAGCACCCCATGAATACTACCCCCTACCCATTCTGTTTTACACTAACCCCCATGTTCAGAAGAAAGAAGGTAGTTCATGTACCCCCAGTATAGGCATTGTTTCTTGATTACCCCTCATTTGAATTACCACCCTCATTAGGGTACAGGTTTGATTGGCTTGGGAAACAACCGGCTTGAGGGACGGAAAGTGAAACTAGAAAGAGCAAGCGAAGGAGCAGAGCAGAGCAGAGCAGGGCAGAGCAGAGCAGAGCAGAGCAGAGCAGAGCAGAGCACATCAGAACAAGCCATGAGACGAGGAGGAGAGGGCTAGGTCAAGGTTGGCATCTACACAGCGACAAGCAGAGATGATCCGATAGCGGAGAGCGCGATCGTGAGCAACGATCATCCCGGAGTGAGACATGGAGAACGCGTGCAGGACGGGGAACCTCGAGGCCGTAAAGGTCCGCCATGAGGCGTCTCACCCGCTCCTCACCCCTCTGCCAGGGCCTCGTCAACGTCGACAGGAACAGGGCTCTGCGGGAGGATGCTTCAGGGCAAACGCCGCTCCACAGGGTGGCAGCGTACAACCACATGGAGGTCTCTTGCCTCCTGCCCTGCCAGCTTGCTGCCTTCTGACACTTTCTGCCCGCAGATACTCAACTTCCTCATCGACTGTAGGGCAGACGTCAACGCTCTGGACAGGCAAAGAAGGATGGGGAGGGAGAGGAGGGAGGGATAGGAGGGAGGGAGAAGAGGGAGGGAGGGAAGGGAGAGTAGGAGGAGGGGAGGGGATGATGGCCCATGGCAGATACGGAGACTCTGCGCTGAAGAAAGCAATCTTCAACGGGCATTACGAGGTTGTCTTCCGGTTGATCGAGATGGGGGCAGATGTCAACGTCTGCGATCATACTGGCAAGACTCCGCTGCACTTCGCTGCTGAGAAGGTGAGGAAAGGAAGCGAGGATCTCGGGAATCGGAGGAGACGGAAGGGAGAAGGAAGGCAAGGAGGAAGGAGGTGGGAGGTGGGAGTGGGGAGGCGGGAGGTGGGATGCGAGAAGCAGCAGGCGGAAGGCGGGAGGAAGGAGGCGGGAGAATGAGTAGCACTGACTGTAACATGAAGGGGGACGCAGCTTGCGTTGAGCTCATGATCGAGAAGGGGCGAACGTGCGTCGAGTTTGCCTCCCTCCTGCTTCTGAGATGCCCCGCAGGTGAACGCAGAGATCCAAGGGCAGCACTACCTGACGCCCCTGCACCTTGCCGCAATACACGGACACAACTCGGTGTGCAAGGTGAGCCGAAGGGCGCAGTGAAATGTAGCAAGAGGGACGGACGGACGGAGGAGAGGGAGGGAGGGAGGAGAGGGAGGGAGGATACCCTTGTGGTGGTGAAACTGGAGATGGGGAGGAGGATCAGAAAGTTGAGGATGGAGATGATGATGATGAAAAGGAGGAGGAGGAGGAGGACGATGATGTTCTTCCCAGGCACTCCTGGCCGCGGGCTCGATCATCGACTCACAGGCGGGAAAGGTGAGACAAAGTTTGTCCTTTGCCTCCTTCACTCGCTCCCCGTCAGGATCACTCGTGCGCCCTCCACCTGGCGTCCGAAGGCGGACACACCACGACCGTGAGGTGCGAGGGGGGAAGGAGGGGGGGGGGGGAGGGGGGATGAGTCCCAACACCAACAAGTGACAAGCGCATCATGCACAGGTTGTTGATAGGCGAGGGTGCAGACGTGAGCATCCGAGACAAGCATGTGCTGCCTGCGCTCCTGCCCCGCCTCCTCGGCTCACCTCCTCCTTCCTCCAGGGGCGGAAAGCTGTTCACGTCTGCAAGGACAGGAAGACGAGGGACGTCTTCGACTCTTTCCGGCTACGCGCGACGGCGAGTGCGAGCGAGGAGGGGGAGGAGGCTGAGCGGCAGGGCAGGTCCATCCTGCGGCATGCACAGTCAAGGGACCTGGGGTGGCGCCGCTGATAGAGGCAACTGAGAAGAGCTTCTTCCTGATCCAGGTCAGCAGTTACATGTCGCATGTCCTTGTGAAGCTGATGACGTCATCGCCCTGCCCTGCTGCTGCACAGCTGAGGGACAGGAATGGGAACTTGCTGCAGGACCAGGGAGGGATGATCAAGGCCTCAGGTCGGGCGGGAGATGCTCGTGGGCTGCTCATGCTGTGGCAGTTGACGTGCAGGACTTGCACACGGGGCAGACGAGAGAGGCAGAGGTTGTGCGAGTGATGGAGATCGGGGGGAAGGGGGAGGGGAGGAGGGAAAGAGGATGAGATGGTGGGAGGAATTAAAGGGGGAGGAGGGAAAGAGGATGAGATGGTGGGAGGAATTAGACGCGTTACGAAGCAGAGCAGCATGGGGGAGGGCGAGAAGGGGGAGAGAAGAGAGATTGGGTCCGAGAAGGGGGAAGGGCAGGAGAGAGCAGGAGAGAGCAGGAGAGGGGAGAAAAGGAGGGCAGGGCAGGAAACTTTCCAACTTGCTCTCCAGGTGGAGCCTCATGAGGAGCTGGCGGGGCCGATGGTCTACTTCAACGCCTCCGTCGTCGGGCATGTCGGTACGGGAGGGACAAGAGGGGAGAGCTGAGGGCGCTGGCAGTACGCGGTGCACGTAAGGATAGCAAACGCCCTTGACGCCTCCGTTGACTCATCGACGGGTCGCTGCTCCTCCTCCTCCTCCTCCTCCTCCTCCTCCTCCTCCTCCTCATTCCTCCTCCTCATTCCTCCTCCTCCTGACTTCCTCCTCATCCTTGCTTCC